TAAAATACAAAGGTTGAAATTGAAATGACCTTTGTAACACTTGCTCCCATTTTGGTTTATAAGTTTTTTGAACCTGTTATTAATTTCTGAGAGCATAACCAATTTTGTAGTTGTATTCTTTAAAAAAGTAGCTGAAATTTTTTTTCCCAGTATAGACAGCAGTACGTAACCTTTACCAGATAAAGAATATGAAGAGTTAATAGTCGAAAACGCCTTGATAGTTTCTGTGCAGGATTTATGATCAGAATTGAAATAATTTTTCAATGTGGGTATATGTTTAAAATAACGAATGGGCGTATTTAATGTTACGATTTATACATTGTTCAGCTTTAATATTTGACAGATTTCCTACCCATATAGTGTGTGAAAACATACGAGTGTCTAGTGTGAGAATTGCTAATCCGATGCTTTTGAAACTTAGTGTACCTGCAGCATACTTTTATTCTTCGAAATGTTTTGAAAATTGACTTGCATGTATAGAAGGTGCACAGACGTAATAAAGAATTATGTGGTAGATTTCGATAATTTACAGTGAGATAGAGAAAAGAAAAGAGCTAGTATAGAGTAGTAGACAATCAACGATGTGCAGGCGGACGCGCAATCTAGGTTAATTAACGGATGAGAAGTAAACGCAGAAGAATGGACAGCATTAGCACGTATTTGGAGACATTGAAAACATACCATATAAAATCATAACAAAGCATGGAATGATTTACTTCGGCTGGGGATGGGCAGGTGCAATTTCTTTCCTTGTGCCACCGAAATTAATACATTACTTTCTTTTAATATGTACTTGACCTTTTCGTAGGCCGGGTATGTTCGCATCATATTCACATTCTGCTTGGGCCTCTTTTTTTCTGGTGAGGCCTTGTTTCGAATGGTATTACCGTGATGGAGCTAGAATGCTTTAGGATGTAATTATAACTGCTGGTTACCGTTGGAAATCGAACTCACAGCCTATTCATCAACACTGGTAAACTCGGTATTCCATATCCTCTGAGTAGTTATTACTGGTAAACTCGGTATTCCATATCCTCTGAATAGTTATTACGCCTTCTTGATGTCTACTTTTCCAATCTAGTGTGCCTTCACAAACAACTCGGGCAAAAGTTGGCACAAATCTGAAAATTTTAAATAGAGTATTAAATAAATGCATGCAGTGCAAACGTGTAAAGACATTATGAAAATTACCTTTCAGAGAAACCAAACATTTCTTACAGATTGAATCTATAAGTTTCCCATTATTTATTCGTATCGCCATAGAACTATGACAGTAATTAGAACTAGAGCATCGTGTAAATGCTCCCTTCAACTTCATTCAGACGAAGGCTTTTTGATACAAAGCTTTGTTACGTAAAGGCTATTAAGTCTTTCAATCTGTGTAAAGGGGTTAGCCATAACTAGTCAGGGAAAATAAAGTTACGCATGCGTAAATGCGCAGCTGACTCAACGAAACTGTCGGCCGAATGTCAGTTAGTATATGCTTCACTGTGATTGGTCGGTTCTTATAAGTTTTGCATAAAGTTGGAACATTTAGGCAAAATACTTAAACCAGGTTTTGTGAAGTAGCGAAGTCTGGTTGTCTAACCACAACGTTCTTGTGATCGGAAAACTACCGTGGGAATGGAGCCTTAGTTTCACCATCACTGCAAATGCTCGTCAGAACACTGCTAGTTCTATCCGAATTCAAAAAGAACTGGCTTTGAGGGAATTCTCTCGATTTTTCCCCATGTGTAACCATGATTGCAAACCATTATCCTTAAAAAATACTCCCATGAAGATATTCCTTCCTTTAGGCAAGGTAGCCGTCGTGTGCTTTGCCATGATACAAGAATATAACCGCTGCCACTTTGGTCAAGGCAGTGTGTTCAACACTGCTTAATCGTGACCTTCATGTGGTTAAGTACTTTTGCTCTCCACAGGTTCTTTGATTCTAATTTAATCAAAATCTAAGATTGAGCAACAAAAATGGCCATAGGAAGTGTTAGTCCTCAGCCACTTTTAATACGGCTGTATTGTTGGAAGCCTTATGCAGTTATTATCAGACTAGTTTTAACATAATATGTAATATCACTCTGGGCAGTTGCTCCTGAAACTCCACAAGAGAAGTTCTTCATAAAATAGTCAGTGCATTATGCTTTGGGAGAAATTTTGAAATTCATAAATTATATAAATAACTGATATAAATACATACTAACAGCCACACAGATTTCCCCTCCCCCCCGATTAAAAAACCAAAAATTAAGATGTGTCGAAATTTTCCTTTTCTACCAACCGCGGAGGATAAAAGCCTGTTGGTTTAGTAATATCTACCTCATACATATTTTAGTTTCTAAAGAGACAATAGAAAGCAGTTCAAGCTCAATGCGTTGTTTTCTAAAACCGCTTTCTTCAGTGATGAGCTTAAAGTTTTACTGTCTAAAAGGCCCAAGAGTGAATAGCTTTGAGGCAGAACTGAAAACGCCTCCAACGAAGTGATCCTGTTGCATAACGATATTCGCAAATATTGGTCAGAAAAGCTTTCAAATTTTGACATATATCTAGAAATATTCAAAACTATAATACGTGTATTAACAGTTTTTTTCCTTGAACACTTTCTAATATGCTTAGAAAGAAAAAATATGACAGTGTATGGATTTCTCTGCATGAAATGACTCTTTATGAAATTACTGCTCAATAAATGCGGAATTTTCACGCTTGACATCACTTTCTTTTAGTGGATAATTTTACGTGCACACTCATACATACACACTCGCATAAAAAACCCTTAGCATACTTTAAGTGCTGTTTTTCATGCTTCATCAATTTTATATTTTATAAGCACAAAATAATTCTTTGTTGAGAATTTTTTGAAGACATGAACGGATAGTATTTCATAGGTTGTGTTAACAATTTTCGTCGATTGGGGCGGAAAAAATTTTCAAAGATGTTTTAGTGTTCCATCAATGAACCGTGGCGATTGCAATAAACGTTTCTTTATCCCGCGTTTAATTACCGATAAAATTATCAGAGCTTCCTGTTGTTTAGTCTTTGTGTAAGAGTTTTCACTCTTGTTAGACCTTAAGCATTGAATTGATGACGCAAGGCATAGAAATTTTATGTTTGTATGGTACACCACACAAATTTTAATGCACACAAAATTTTAATGGACTGCGTTAACATACTTCCACAGCTGCAACTAGTATATGCTTTGATGACTAGCAAATCTGAAGAAAATTACAAAAGATTATTCCAAGATATAATTGATTTCGCTGAAGAAAATAATATTGAACTGAGGCCATCTAGAATCATTAGTGATCTAGAAAAGGCAGCTATAAATGCTCTGCGCACTCAAAATGCTGTCGAGGATTGGCACAGAAGATGGGAGACCTTAATTGGACGGACCATGTTGGCGTTTATAACATCATAGAAGGATTTCAAAAAGAACAGGAGCATGTGGAATACCAAGTTGAATGCATTCTTCGCGGAACAACAACCAAAACATAGGAAGGTAGATGATGACAGAGAAAGGAGAATTATGATTGTTGTGGATGATCGTGATAATCGACCTGTGATGGAATATCTTCGTGGTATACCTAATGTCTCTACAGCGTCATTAAATTTGTTTTACATTTTTAAACGAAATGTATTTTGTTGTATATACCCCCCTCCCGAACGGTGGGCGCTATTGGTATATAAACATGTTTTAATATAATTAATTTTTTCCCGTGAATTGTGTTGTTAGCGATTGTCTCGTGAATTGTGTTGTTACCAGCAGATGAGCAAAAAGCCTAGTGTTGCACATAAGTATATCCGTATTGCGAAGAATTTTTTCTTTTCTGGTGTCCTGTTTGCTGTCTGCATGTCGAATGATGAACTTGACGCAATTTTTTTTCAAATGATATTATATTAATAACTTTTTTGGGGGGTGATAGGACCTCCTTCATCTTACATCAAAATAAAGCGCAGTAAGAAACACCTTGCATTCTTATTCGCTGACATTTTGTGATGAAAGAAACGGCAACACTTTTTTTGAAGGGGGGAGGTGACTAGAAAATGAAAAGATAATGCAAACTTAATACATTACTAAGTGTAACCTATATTTATATTTACATAGTAACACGCTATTTATACGGTTTTCGATAATACGCCCTTCTTCCGGGTATACTAAAATTTTCAGATCCTCGAAATGTTCCTGTTGAAAATAATTTTCGTCTAAGTTTCGTTTCGAACGCGAAAAATCATTAAATATTGTTAAAATACAAGCAAGACCGTATTAAAATAAATATAGATTATTGTCGTTGAAAAATCAGAAATTTTGTCATGAAAATTAATAATAATATATGACATTAAAAGCATATTTTTTATTATAATGTAAAACTCGTGAAAATATTATTGAGGAACTTGTGAAAAAGTTATTGAGAAATTATACATATTTTAATGGCTTAACTTTATTGTAGTGATAAGCAGTGAATTTGTAATTTAGAAAATAAATTAAAGATATTTTGTGGCAGGCTGTGTTTAATGTTTATAACCTCAGCAACTTTAATTAACGATTTTAACCGAATTTTTATAAAACATATGTAATCTGTTTTTATCGTTTGATTTCTTCCTTTTAATAGTAATCAAGTAATACTAATTAATGGCTATTAATTTGTGATATTTTAAATTGAACTGATCGTAAAATTTATGAAATGTGAATAATTATTTAAGATATTTCTATTTGCTAAACGTTAAATTCAAAATGGAATTGTTTTTAATAAATACTTCACTAATGTAACGAGAATTATAATAAATTACATCTTGTACGGTATTATTTAAATTATTATATGTTACATTAATTTAATTTTAGATTTGCATTGGCTCCAGTGGAACGTGCAAATGTATGGCAATAATGCCACATGCGTGCGATGAAAATCGCCAAAACAGCGATACTTAAAACAGAAATGCTATCTCGATTTCCGTCCGTGACGTCATGATTGTGTTTCATTGTGCAGAGAAGTTGGTTGTGGAAGATAACAGACGATGAGAAGTTTCGCATTTTGTCTTGTCATTCGTTAATTACGTAATCGTCGACTGTTCTGTATTCAGCGCGAGATCAACTTTCAGTTTCTTACCGTCGGCTGATGAATGTTTGTCTGGAGAGTTGGTATTTTCTCCGACACATGATTTCAAATAGAGTCTCAGTTGCAAAAACAAACGGGCTTACCGGCATTTTGATATTTTCTGAATGAATCTGGATGTCGTGTGCGTAAGTCCAGTTTCTCTGTTTGGAAATCGCTGGATATGAAATTTATGTTTTGGTGTTGTGTCGCGAGTCATTAATGTAAACTTTTTAATATTTGCATATATTAAGACTAAGAGATTATATTTATCAGTGTGTGCAGTGTGTACCAATTGTTTAATTTTTATTAAAAGTCAATGTTGTTTTATAAATGCGTCGTGTGTCGATAAACAGGAAACGGAAACGTTACTCATTCCAATTTATTATACTTTTTAAATATTCATTAATATTTTCAAATTCCCTTTCGCACTGTTTTTTGCCACTGCATTTCTGAATTTTGTAACCAAATAAAGTAATGAAAAGTTTGGAAATTAAATGTATTGCTGAATCTAAAAGCCCCCTGCATATTTAAGAGTTTCTTATTTTGGTATTGCACATCTGCTTGAAATATAATTTTTAATCTGTCGTACATTGTACGAAAGTGCTAAGCGTATTTATGAGTCACACGCACCGAAATTATGCTATGCCATTTATTATATTCATTTATTACTGTTATGCCATTTCTTATGTATGCAATCTAGTTAATTTTATCTTTGAAAATTGATTTGTATAAACATGTTGTTTATTTTAAGAATGTATGTATAGTTTCATTATCTTCATTTTTACTTTATTTAAAAGTTATATTGGGTCAAAGCATTGAAAATTGATTTGTATAAACATGTTGTTTATTTTAAGAATGTATGTATAGTTTCATTATCTTCATTTTCACTTTATTTAAAAGTTATATTGGGTCAAAGCATTGAAAATTGATTTGTATAAACATGTTGTTTATTTTAAGAATGTATGTATAGTTTCATTATCTTCATTTTCACTTTATTTAAAAGTTATATTGGGTCAAAGCATTTAATGATAATTAGGCTGTAATACTATATGCCATTTATTATGTATGCAGTCTAGTTAATTTTATCTTTGAAAATTGATTAATTGTATAAATATTGTTTATTTTAAGAATGTATGTATAATTTCATTATCTTCATTTTCACTTTATTAAAAAGTTATATTGGATCAAAGCATTTTATGATAATTAGCCTATAATACTACATAGTCTGTCTATAACTATATAGGCCATTTGTTATCAGCCAATATTAGTTTTCTTTAATTTATAATTCAGTTATGGAAGAGGAAATTGAAGAAAATGTGATTTTTATTAGTAAATGTTTTGAATGAAATTATATGTACATACTACACACACACACACACATATATATAGATAATCTTCATATTTATATTTAAGTATATATTTCGTATTTTGTATATATGTACATTAAACATGTTTATTTTATTCAAAATGATCAGTTAAAAGTATATTGTCATAATTGTATATCTTATTTGTTTCTAACTTTGCATTTTCAGAAGCAAGAACTGTTCTAGGACATCATGTCTAGGCCACCTACAGGAAACAGAGGTCCAGCTAAAGGTGATGTTAAATAAATAGTTCATTTCATACTTAAGATGTACATTTATCAAATTTCACCTTAATGGATTTAAATGAAATTCATAAGTACTCTTTTTTGTAAGGGGCTGATCTAAATGTATAATCATAAGAAATTTGGGATAAAGTGCAGAATCGCCCACTTATTTGTTTGGCACTTTTTACAAGAGTAAGAAGAATTGGATTTTTGTCCATTTTCTTTGACTTTTTAAGTGAAAATAGGTCAATGTGTATATGGATAAAGTCGAGTGAGTGCGCAATGCCATTTTTGTGTAATTCTGCGATTTTTTTCAAGTGAAAATAGAGTGATGTGTACATAGATACCGAGTATGTGCAATTCTTAAAAACGTGCCAAGCAGTGGGTGATTCTGCACTTTCCCCGAAATTTGTTACATGCTGGATAGTTTTACTTTTAGCTATTTGATAAAGTAGAATTAGTTATATGTATATATATATATGTATTTTTATTTTTAAAATATTTATAACAATATATTTCATCAGATATGTATTGGTTTGCCCATGGTGGGATTGAAACTAATGCTGAAAAGTGCCTCTCTCAACAAAGAAGTGCTACTCCTGGAGAAGGAGATGAAGAAAGCAATGATTCAAATTCACCTACGTGGAAATCCTTACCAGATCGTAGAAACTTTCCAGAGGAACAGAAGTCCGCTTTTTTAAGAGATGCATCTCATACAGGTAATAAATGTTTTTAACCATAATGTTAATGTTTTGTTACTTCTGTAATAATCTTTTTACAAGTAATGGCATTGAAATGTATGAAATCAGTAGAAGTAAGTGTATTAGTGAAGTTAGAATCAAACAAACTTGCTGAAACAAGTGTGTTGAAAATTATTTCCGTCAAGGTGCATGTCCTTGTCAAAAAAAAATTGCCTTGTTTTAATCGAATATAAAATTTTGAGTGCTCTCCCCCCCCCGTGAATATGGAAGAAATGTTTTAATTACTAGTTTAAAAAAATTAATAGTAAAGGAATCATATTAACCTTTTTGGGGGAGAATTATTAAAACAAAGTAAAAACCTGCATTAAAAAAAATTATCAAGACTTCTGTTTTTTTCTCTTATTCTTATTTTACTCTTATGTTATCAAAGTAATGTTGGTTTTAAAATTGTGAGGATAACTTGAAATGTATTTTCACTAATTACATATACATGGTTAGGTCTTATGACCAGTAGCACATGTAAAAGATAATTGAGTAAAATCCTAGTACAGTCAAAAGTCGTTAATCCGGACTCGTCGGGACTACGGCGATTCCAGATTATCGATTTTTCCAGATTATAGATCATCAGTTTAAATCTGGTAAAATGGCATGCAGAAATTATGAAATTAAAAATATGAAACCGTAATTTACGAAATAAAGAACAATTATGACCTAAAGTGTATCAAAAATTAAAAAAAAAAAAAAAAAAAAAAAAGCTTATTATTTATTTGTTTACTTTATTAAACATTTCTTTCAATGTAAGTTGTTTAAGTTGCTTCGTTTTTTATGTGATAATACATTCTCTTTAATTCTATAAACAGACATAATTTCTTGTTCAGTTACAAAGTTCCGCTGTTCAAGCGCCGCGGCGTTAAAGATAAACAAAGTTTAGATAAATAAACGTTAAAGTTTAGATAAACAAAGGATATGCCTTTATCCATTGTTTGCAGCAATTCCACTTTTTGTTTAATGGACTCCGAAACATACTTTCGCTTTGTAGATCTGTTACATATTAGTAAATATAAATCGGAAATTCTATTTGACATAATCCAAAGTTCAAGCTTACTTTTATAAAATTGCTCTAACAGTCTGCAAAAAATAATAAGCCGTATCTCGTTCGAAGATTAAGGAACAATGCAATCTGCAACATTAACTGAAATAGATAATTAGATAATTTTTGCTTAGCTTATACCGTCCGTTATACATTAAACGCGCATTCGTAAACATATTTTGCGCAGGCAAATTCGCAGCTGTAAAGGTCTTACACGCATGAGTCAACGCGACACATGCGCAGAAAGTTTGTAGCTTTGAGGTCCAGATTATAGATCATTCCGGATTATGGGCGTCCGAATTAACGACTTTTGACAGTATACGGTGCAGCCTTGGTGCGATTTTGAAAATTATCGCCAACACTAAACATGATCCAAAGTATATGCTTGGTATATCAATGTTAAAATACCTAGGTGTTATTTTTTCCAAAAAAAAATTTCTTGTGTCATAATGAGTCATTATATTCTTACCATCATGATTCATTATGCCAAGAACAAAAAATATAATAAATGAATGAAATTATTTTATTTTTTGTTATTATCTCTTGAAACTGTATTTTTGTTTACAAAGTAAGCACTGTTAATGGAAAGTTTATTTAAAGTGTATCATTCTATTTTGTTCCCTTTTTATTAAAATAATTAACCTAAGAGATATATTTCTCATGTTTAGAGAAAAAATTTACCACATTCAAATTAGTTGACAATTATCTCATTAGAAGTATCAAGTTGGCACATATAACTTTCAAGACAAAATTATTTGACATGTGATTTTTTTGTAATGGAAAAGATAAAAAATTACAAGCATTAGTTTCAATCCCACCATGGGCAAACCAATACATATCTTATGAAAAATAGTTTTTTCGGTACTATTCCGTTTTGAGGGCCATAAAAATCGCCAAACTATTGTTGATGCCAGTGCTGCTAAAAATAATTGCGGCAATCCTAATGCAAGAAAGGAAGTACAATAGTAAATAACTTAAGATTTTATTGTTTTAATTTAGATGAAAGGTTAATTTCATATAATACTTTTTTATTATAATAATTTACATAAAAAACACTAAACATAACTGAATGGAGGCATAAGAGTAAATAACTATTTCAGATCATTATTATATAATTTATATAAAAAAAGAATGGATTCCTGCAGTGCTATTATGCTACCAAGTTATCGCTAAAGCATAATTTCATCTCGTTGCTTGTTCAAACATTACTTTCTGTAATGAATGATGCCTTTTCTTTGAAAAAATTATATTCTAGACTTTTCGTCGTGGGCAATTCCTAAATTGTTAAATCCATAGGATACCAAAAAATAAATTAAAAATTAAATTAGTATTTCAATGGCGTTTTAAGAAATTAGAACTATCTAAACTTACACAATTTGAAATCAGTGCATACGCTAGATTTGGCACTTTTGCGCATACATTTTCGCTACAATTTTTTTATGGTCCTCAAAACAGAATAGAACAGTTTTTTTCTTACCTTCATTAATACTCACTTCTTTAAGTGGTTGGGAAAATAAATTATAAATTAATTCATGTTCAAAGGTTTTCTGTTATCATGAAATGTTTCAAACAGTTGTATGTCAGGATTATATTTTTGGTTTAATTATATATATTTCAGCAGTAGATGGAACTAATTCTGGCCCTTCGTCTCTGGAGCGAGAAGACAGAATGCGAGCAAGTGAAAAACGAATGGCCGTTGAAGAAAGAAAACGACAACTATGGGAAGCTGAACAGGTATTCCAAGTTAATTTCATCACTTGTAGTCTTAATTTAAATAGCTGTATTTAACGTGGTGCTTACAATTTTTCATATACTTCTTAACTGTTAAGTGTTTTGGTAGTTTAATGGAAAAGTTCCAGAAAAAAGACCATACACACATTTTTCCCATCTTCAAACAAGTTACCAACCTGCATTTTAACACTTTGCTTGTAATTTCTCGTATTGCATTTCTATAAAATTCCATTATCTAAGAAGCGCAAATTTTTGTTTTGTATTGTTGGGCAAATATGATGTATTTCTGAAGAAATACTATACAGTCAAAAGTCGTTAATCCGGACTCGTCGGGACTTCGGTGATTCCGGATTATCGATTTTTCCGGATTATAGATCATCAGATTAAATCTCGTAAGATGGCATGCAGAAATTCTAAAATTAAAAATATGAAACCGTAATTTATGAAATAAAGAACAATTATGATCTAAAGGGTATCAAAATTTGCAAAAAGAAAATGCTTAATATTTATTTGTTTACTTAAATAAACATTTCTTTCAATGTAAGTTGTTTAAGTTTTGCTTCGTTTCATGTGATAATACTTTCTCTTTAATTCTATTAAACAGACATAATTTCTTGTTCAGTTACAAAGTTCCGCTGTTCAAGTCCTATAATTGCTGTGTCAAGAACACCGACTAATTTGAATTTGTCAATCGAAATTTTTTCGTTTTCAATAACCTCTGTCACTTTTCTTCGCTATCCGAGTTTTAAAGGAGCATATCGAGATGAAATACTACATTTGGTAAGGAATTATAAGCCAAATAAAATAAAAACATCTGATCTTCAATTATAAGCCAAATAAAATAAAACCATCTGCGCTGAAGATAAGGATAGTGCTGAAAGATCAACTTCCAATTCATTACACACCCCCTGCCGCCTTGCCCCCGCCCCGCCCCGCAGAGCAGCGTGAAATTGATAAACAGATTTCGGATTTCAAAACATACTTTCGCTTTAGATCCTTTACGTATTAACAAATATATATCGGAAATTCTATTTGATATAATCGAAAGTTTAAACTTACTTTTATAAAATTGCTCTTACAGTCTGCAAAAAATAATAAGCAGGATCCAATTCGAAAATTAAGGAACAACGAACAACGCAATCAATCATCAACATTAACTGAAATAGATAATTTTAGCTTATACGTCCATTATACATAAACGCGCACGCGAAAACGTATTCTGCACTTGCGCACACTCATATGCGCAGTCGTAAAAGGTCTTACGCGCACGCGTAAACGCCTATGCGCATGTGTCAACGCGGCGCATGCGCAGAAAGATTTTAGTTTTGAGGTCCGGATTATAGATCATTCTGAATTATGGGTGTCCGAATTAACGACTTTTGACTGTACTTTCTTTTTCATCAGCTAATAAACTCCACAGTCCCATCATGATACGGTATGACAAAAACAGGTACATGATGCAGAAGGAGATACTGGCTGTTGAATTTCAGAAGCACAAATTCATGTATACCTAAACCACGTACTCTATGCATATACCTGCGTTACCACATATACCCATTTTTATAATTTTATTTCTGGAATTAAGGAATTGAACATTTTGTCTGTTTCTGTAATATGCGTAAATTTAGTGTTATGATTTAAGCTGCATCAAAAGTTAAATTTGTAAATTTTGTTTACCTTTCGAGTTAATAATGGGGCTATTTTTTTTTTTCCAGGAAATAATTTGCTACTACTTCAAAGTTTTAAATGCTAATATAAATTTTGTTGAAATAAAAAAAATTGGGGAAATTATTAAAATTCATATGTTAGAACGCTTAAGCAAAGTCTTTTGGTAGCTATTCGATTCTTGGAATAATTTAAAATTAATAGTGATTATTTTATATCAAAGAAAATGTGTGTATACTTAAATCTATTACCCTGTGGGTCTACCCTTATTGCTAATAGAGAGGGATATGTTCTTATGTGTTATGAAATATATATATGTAATATAACTGCTTCATTATTGTAATTGACTTGGTGTAAGATGACTTGGTGGAAAGTAAGCTGCAACGGATTGGCAGTATTTCCTGTCATTATAACAGTGTGGCTAGCAAGATTTCTCTCAAAGAAGACACATAATGATAAATTCTGCATATAATATTATTCCTTGATAATGCACATTATCACTGTGGGTGCGCTATGCACGCCCCAATTTTGTAAAGCTTATATTTCTTAAACAATAGAGGAAAATTGAAAAAGGAAACTGCATGACTAGTAGAAATGCAAAGCAGCAAAATGAAGTGAGAGAGTTGTGACACAATTAACCTTTCATACCATTTCAGATCACATGACAGTTTAATGTCCAGATGTTGGGTTTAGATTTCATGGATAAGTGCTAAGTGCACGTCAGAACTGCAGGGAGTTAGAAAATTGTTGCTTTGTTCTTTTTTAGAATGAAGACGAGAGTTGAAGGGCTATTATTTATTTATTATTTGAAAGACAGATATTTTATATTTTACATATTCTCTAGTGTGTAAGGTATAAAAAAATGATGATGGCTGCTTTAAGAAATAATTGGCAACCTCAAAATTAACTATTCTAGATTTTATGTTCTCCCCTCTAAATTCATGTGTTCTTCCAAATTCGAGATTTTTCCATGCTACATAACGTTGATTGAAAAGGTAACTATAATTAACCAATCACAGCTTTGAGTACTTTCTGCATCTACTAGGTATAAATGCTCTTTCTTGAACTACGCCATTTCTTTTCCCAACTTCTATCCTGTAAACAACTCTGTGCTGCTTATGCTGTCCTGTTCAAAATGCTTAAATCGTACTTTTAAAACCTAAGTACATGGAAATTATTGTGGTCTCCCTATGATTAAAAAACATCTTTTTCTGCAAAAGGATGGTTCTCGATATGTGCGAAAATAAAGATTGGTGATTTGTCGAAATCCAGTTTTTGTTGTCTTCATCTGTATGCCTTAACCTTTAGCCATGACGGGTACCGAAAGCTGCTAAAAGTACCGAGTGGCACTTATGCACTTAAAACATTACATATATTATGTAACATTTAACATATAAATTTATTTACACATTATTCATACATTTATAAATTTAACATACAAATTTAAATATTTGAAAAGAATCCTTGTAAAATTAAAATATCTAATTTCTGCTGGAATTTTAATTTTCAGGAAAGGAATGATGCTCTTCTTAAAAAGCATATGGAAAGAGAAGCTGCATTAGAAGCCCGCCGAAATGCTCAAAGAAGTAACATATCATTTGCTTTTGGCAGTTCGGTACCTAGAAATGTTGAGTCTCTGCATTCATATCAAGCAGATTCGGAGAAATTGAATAAATCTTCTGTTACAAGTGGTTTATTATCAAAAGGTATATATTTTAATGACAATAAAATTTAGTGTTGTCATACAAAATAAAATGCATGTTGTCATAATAAAGTATACATTTTATGGAATCGAACATTTGAAATGCAGAAGTCTGATTTATGTATTAAGTATAAAATGCACTTTGAATAACATTTTATATTTTTCTTTTATATAGAGCTTTTTAAATTAGGTTTTTCATATATTGTATTTAACTTACAAAATATATGATTTTGAGTAGAGTTAAGTCAGTAATTTTAAACTATCAAACATGTTAACATTTTATTAAATAATCAAATAGTAATAAAGTAAATAGTCAAATTATCTTATAAGTAAGCTGCGAGAACAACACGTTTTTGATCGATATATATATATAAATTTCAGTATCTTAAAATAAAAGCATATATATTTTTAATGAATTTGAAATTAAAAATTCCAAAAAACTTCTAAATTTATGTGATTGTGATAATTTTTTAAATAAAAAATTCCATGTAACAATTTCTCTTTCCAATCTGTGAACTTCAATCACATTTTAAAATAACTGAGATATTTTTAAAATTTTACTATCCTTCCACAAGGAAAAAGTTTCTTGGCGAAGTGTTACCTTTGATATTCGGTATTTCTATAAAATATTTCATCATAAATTAGTTTTTGTAACTATGTAGCATTTCTGTAGCTTTATCATTATATGAATAAATAAAGAGTAATTTTTACTTATTTTCTTATACAATGTGATAGTTACCACTTTTTGAAAAGTTTCTGCAAAAGAAATTAATAATATAGTATAATAATTGAGCTTTTATTTTGATTATTCATCTATGAATAATAATGGATTAAAAATATCTTACAGAAGAAACCAATGAAACATACTACGAAAGCCGATCAGTTTCTCCTTTTAACTCTAGCGGGCACAGCTTTTTGGTTGATAGTATTAGTCCTCAATCAAATTCATCACAAATATGCACTTCTCACTTTGAACGAAAGACTATGTCTCCACCTTGCTGGCTGGTAGGCTCTGGTGCTCTTATTGGTGAGTAGGGATCTGAAAGAATATGGCATGTAGATTGCATCACTCTTGAGAGGCTGCTTTTTGTGCTGTCTGTAACTAACATTTTCTATTAACATTGTCATTTGCATTATTAGCATGAAAATGGTAAAGTATTTGCTCCCTTCATCCTTCTATTTACTAATATCTTCCACACTATTCTATATTTTTTTAAATATTTCCTTATTTTTTGTTGATTTAATAAAATTTCAGAGCAGTGCTTTACATTTCATGTAGAATGAATCTTAGTAATGATTCAGAATCCATTATTCAAGTTGAAATTGTATCTTCTAGAAAGTTAAAACAAAGCCTTGTGTTTTATATCTCATTATTGCCATTTCCTGTTGTTTCACCCACTGGGGTATTTAGAAATATCAGAAAGTGGTTTTATTGTCCAGTTTTTCATTGAAATAATTTAATTCAGTACTGAGATTGAGTACTTGGGTGCTCAAGTCTTCTGCAGAACGAAGTATACTATCATCTTTTAGTAAGTTCCAAGCTGCATTTGGCCAGTTCATCCGTGCTCATATCACTGTCATAGCCCTAGTATCTTCTGACGAGCTGGCTTTTAAACTCTGTATGGCTAACATTCCGGTTGGAGGCCAACTCAAGCAGCGACATTACTGAGGTTAATTTTTTTCAAAACTGTACTGATAAGTGTACATATTAATACTGTGACACATCTTAATATGTATAATATAAATGAGAAACATGTCAAATAGAAATTTCATAAAAATATTTTTGATGTTTGAAAGAGATGGACTCTTCAGAGTAAATAATTTTACATTATGTCCTGTTTTACTTAACTTGAATTTTACATAATTTTAAATTCTGATGCATATATTCTTTGCTTGAAAGTTTCATAAATTGTTTTCCATCGTTTTGATAAATAGTTATCGAATGCTTATTGCTGTGAGTGTATAACAATAGAATATTGATATTTTCACAGTATGTTAGTAATGCATTTATAAGCCATCATGTAAGTTTTTATATTTTGAGGGTTTTAAAGAATGGGATAATATGGTTACTTAAATATTTCAGTTTTTAATTTTTTATGTAGATTTAATTATGTTCCTGATATTTGGTAGAGTCATGTTTTTGGTTTCATAAACTCTGTGCATTAAATACCAATAGAATAACAATTCCTGACACGTTACTTTTATTGAATAATGAAGTAGAAATTAATGCCTGTAAAACTGTAAATGATAAAACTGTTGGCTGTATGGATGAAAAATCAATCTGATTGTTACTTTTTGTGCGAGAGGTATATATTTGATTCCTTTTTTCATTCACATTCATAAATTAGCTAAGTGTTTGATATGTTGTTCTTTCATTTGGTGACATTTTGACACTTGTCGCTAGTAATTTTACAGAACTGACATCAGAAACAGATACTTTGCAAAATTTTTTTTGTATATATTCATTACTTAAATATCATAGTTACTCCTGTTTGCCAATTCATAGTTTTTAATGATATATAACTGGATTTAACCTTCTGAGCTGTATGCCTACTTTACCCAGTCAAATATTCTGTCTTTTTATGTATGTGTATATATAATTTAATGAGTTATATATACACAAATAACTCGTTATTTAAATTATTTTATATCTTATATTATTTAACAATCTAAATGGCTTTCTGTTAAATGGAAGATTAGGGAAGCTAAGAATAAAATAAGTTATTTTTCAAATCTAGCTTATAAATACTTTATAATTGCAAATCTTCATCAGCAGATCTGAAAGAAGTACTGCTCAGAAGGTCAAAACTGCGTATTTCACTATATATTCTTCCTTTGATATAGATCACAATTTGTATATTCTGTTTGTAGGTGATGATATTATGTCTAGGAGCATGACTGCTTCTGTACCTGCTCCAAGAGGCCGTCGAAAGAATGACCTAATGCCCACAGTTCCTTATGATCGTACTGCAGCGCCTCGAACATCTGCAGCTTCTTCAACACGTAAAAGATCTGTGAGCATGACTCGTCTAGATCAGTTAGCTCAGCCTAGAAAGCATTATGTTGAAGCAAATAAAGCTAATAGTACTGCTAGCAGTGGTACATCAAGTAAGTTTTATGGTTATTAATATAACCAAAGAGCCTTAAATATATTGCTATAGTAATAATTTTTTGAATCTATGCTTCTAGAATTCATGCTGATCTACAAAAGTTTCTTTTTTTTCTTTTTTTTTTTTTTTTTTTTTTTTTTTTTTTTTTTTTTTGTGGGTGGGTGTGTGTGTGTGGGGGGGGGTTAATCAGCAAAATGTATCTATTACATATATGTAAAGAAAGTATACATGTAAAGAAAGAAAGAGATAGTGAACCATCACCCACTGGATATTGTCAGTGGCTTTGTTTGAAGCTATAATTTTACTTTCCTTTATTTGTAAGTAGTGATATTTGAGAAGTATTAATAATTATAGTCAAAAGTTGTTAATTTGGACACCCATAATCCGGAATGATCTATAATCCGGACCTCAAAGCTAAAATCTTTCTGCGCATGCGCCCTTTTGACGCATGCTCATAGGCGTTTCACGCGTGCGCGCAAGACATTTACGACTGCGCATATGCGTCTGCGCAAGCGCACAATACGTTTTCGCATGCGCGTTTAATGTGTAACGGACGGTATAAGCTAAAATTATCTAATTTTCTATTTCAGTTAATGTTGATGATTGCGTTGTTCCTTAACCTTCGAATTGGATCGGGCTTATTATTTTTTTCAGACTGTAAGAGCAATTTTATAAAAGTAAGCTTGAACTTTCGATTATGTGAAATAGAATTTCCGATGCTGAAGCTCCCAAAGGATCTAGAAAACGAAAGTATGTTTCGATGTCCATCAAACAAAAAACGAATTGCTACAAAAAATGGATAAAGGTATATCCTTTGTTTATCTAACCGTTCCGAAATCTGTTTATCAATTTCGCACTGCTCTGCGGGGGGGGGGGGGGACATTGTGGCGCGCAATGAACTGGAAGTTGATCTGTCAGCACTATCCTTAACTTCAGGGCAGATGTTTTTATTCGGCTTTTAATTCCTTACTAAATGTAGTATTTAATCTCGATGTACTCCGTCTTTGATATGATTTAAATCAAATTCCTCGTCATTATAAATATCACGAATACAAATCAAATAGTTTTCTGGTTGCAATTTTCTAATTTTGGCTATGCGTAAGGTATGCTTTACGCATGCACGCGTTGAAAGAAATGTTTAATAAAGTAAACAAATAAATATTAAGCTTCTTTTTTTTTGTAAATTTTGATACCCTTTAGATCATAATTTCTCATTATTTTATAAATTACGGTTTCATATTTTTAATTTTAGAATTTTTGCATGCCATCTTACCAGATTTAAACTGATGATCTATAATCCGGAAAAATTGATAATCCAGAATCGCCGAAATCCCGACGAGTCCGGATTAAAGACTTTTGACTGTATAATACTGGTATTTATTAAAATAGGAAGGAAATGCTGTTCAGACAACAAATTTTTAACAGTCTGTTGCATATCAAAGTGTTAAAATATTAAGAAGTATACTGGCTTAATACACTTAAAAAGAGACTTTAAAGACCTTACTTAATTGGGAATAATTCATTGATTTTGAATAACATTGCAGTATGTGTTGTTATCTTTTCCCCTTGAAATAATTATTTTGTTAATTTTTAAGCTAAATATTTCATGCAGAGCACGTAAATAGATATATCTACTCCAAGTATTTAATGTATGCTAGTGCAAGGTTTTATAATTTACTGAAAAGTTTTAAATTCTGTATTGTATTATTTATTTATTTATTTATTTATTTTAAATTGGGTTTTAGGATATTTATATCTTTGGTTTGTTTTGATTTTATTTGGTGATATATTCTTTATAATAGCAGAATTAATTTTTAAATATGTGCAAACTACAAAAACTATTACATACTAATAATTATAATAGATTTAACCAGGTTTTATTAAACTTAATGCAAGGCTCAGAAATAAATACATTTATTGCTCATAAAATATGCATGACTGATTTTTGGGTGTGTATGTGAAAAAAACAGTTGCATCAGGCTATCTTTTATTAAAAGTTGTAGATGGAAATTTGGTATTTTTCTGATTATCCACATCCTCAAAGAAAAGTTCTGAAGTCATTGGTGATTTTGGAAAGCCTTCGAGAATTTTTTGGCTGCTTACTTTTTGCTTGCACAAAAGGTAACAGCTGTTTCACTCAGTGGCTATACTTCAAATAATAAAGTAATAAAATTTAAAAAAAATAAAAGCATTAGTAATAATTTTTTTTTGAGGCCACCCCTTTTTTTTGGTCTTGTTTTTTTCTCTTTCTCTCTCTATATAAGTGATCTGTTTTTGCTTAACAAAATCAGCATATTGCATATGTTTTGGCAGGTGCACAGTTACCTTGCCTGGGTTGCTACATAACTATTTTGAAAATGACTGATTTTTCTCATGAATGCATTTTTCTGGTAGGGGTGCAGTTAATCAGAAAGTACTGAATTGGTGGAGGGCTATGAACTTTGAAATGACAGTAAAAGGTTGAAACGAAATTGTAAAAACAATCGGGAACAAAAAATGTAAAAGGAAACAAAAGGGCTTTTAATACTATGATTTTTTTTAATGTATAACTCTGTCAAGGCATTTTAGAGATGCTATATGTCATTATATTTTTATCCTATAAAATTTGTGCCAACCAGCGGCCGAGCGGCAAAGTCACTGAATACTGGAAGTTCGGCCCGAGGTTCGAATCCCGCGAAAGGGCTCGCTGCATGGGCGTTTTCGTGGTTTTCCCCATGTGTAACATGTATACGAGCCCCTTAAAATGTCCTCCACGAAGGCATCCCTCCCCTTAGGCAGATAGCCCTTGAGGCTTTGCCATAATCACACACACACATCCCTACAAAATTTGTAAAAATAACTGCTATGCTGTTGTTTTAAGTATATACAGTCAAAAGTCGTTAATCCGGACTCGTCGGGGCGATTCTGGATTATCGATTTTTCCGGATTATAGATCATCAGTTTAAATCTCCTAAGATGGCATGCAGAAATTCTAAAATAAAAATATGAAACCGTAATTTATGAAATAAAGAACAATTGTGATCTAAAGGGTATCAAAATTTACAAAAAAAAAAAAAAAAAAAAAAGCTTAATATTTATTTGTTTACTTTATTAAACATTTCTTTCAATGTAAGTTGTTTAAGTTGCTTCGTTTTATGTGATAATACTTTCTCTTTAATTCTATAAACAGACATAATTTCTTGTTCAGTTACGAAGTTTCTCTGTTCAAATCCCGTAATCTGTGCAGAGAATACCGAGTAACTTGTCAATCGAAATTTTTTCGTTTTCACTAACCTCTCTGTCACATTCTTCATGTCTTTATCCATTTTTTGCAGCAATTCCACTTTTTGTTTGATGGACATCGAAACATACTTTCGTTTTGTACGATCCTTTGGGAACTCCAGAATCGGAAATTCTATTTGACATAATCGAAAGTTCAAGTTTACTTTTATAAAATTGCTCTTACAGTCTGCAAAAAATAATAAGCGGGATCCAATTCAAAGATTAAGGAACAACGCAATCATCAACATTAACTGAAATAGATAATTAGATAATTTTAGCTTATACCATCCGTTATACGTAAAACGCGCACGCGAAAACGTATTCTGCGCTTCCTCACACGCATATGCGCAGTCGTAAAAGGTCTTACGTGCACGCGTAGATTGCCTATGCGCATGTGTCAACGCGGCGCATGCGCAGAAAGTTTTTAACTTTGAGGTCCGGATTATAGATCATTCCGGATTATGGGTGTCCGAATTAACGAGTTTTGACTGTATTAAAAGTTAAACTTCTTGATTCTGCATTCAGTTTATTCAAGGTTTTGAAGTGGTATTTCACTAATTCCTTAAGCATATTTGATATGGCCATATTCCCATGTAGTGGATTTTTCTTCCTTCTCTCTTTTTCCTCCCATCAATAACCTGTGGATAGGGGATAAAATTTTACACATTTCCCCCCTGAACTCGTTAAAAAGTATCTTCTGCTATACATTTCATTGGAATAAGCTTTATAATAAACATATATATACTTTAATCTTCTGGTATGTTGACTGAAATGATAATATTTTTTAGAGTGGAATTTGAGAATCTTGCTTTTGAGTTTCAGCAGCTATTATGTAAACAAATATTTTTATATCAAATATCATTTTCACAATACTGAAACATATGTTGAATTTTTAGCTTATTTTTATTTTTAGTATTTGCTTATCAGTTTAAAATTTTGTTCAGAAAATTTTTTTTAATCATCCTATGAAATGTATTAATCTAGGTATGGTGAAGGATAATGTTCGCTCACCAACTAGACCTCTTTCTTCAGCATCTGAGCAATCTGGAGGTTCAGGTCGTGCTGCTAGTGCAGTTAATCGGCGAATGCGCTCCTCTCCAAGAAAACCAAGACCTGTTTCAATTGCTGGTTCAGTGCCTGATCATAAGCAACCTCCAGAATTGAAAATATCTCCAATTAAAAAGGCAAACTACACAGCAAGCAAAAAGGTAGCACAGACTGGTGAAGTTAAGAAAGGTAAATGTGATTAATTTTCAGTTGAAATATAACATAAATTTTTTTTAATCCAAGCATTTTATTGTATAAATAATTTTATTATAACAATTAACTATAGTGTTTAATTACAAAAGAAATTTTTAGCTATTTCAATATCTTGATTCATAATTTCATAGTTATTCCTTTTTAAACCTTAATTTCAATTTAATAAAATGTTGAATGAATGTGTTTTATCTTGTAAAAATGATCTTTTAAGACTTGAAAGCAGAAAGAAAGATTCATATTTTCCTTTTATATGCATCATGTTATCATGTATGTGCTGAAGCTTAAACATGTGATTTCAAGCATATAGCCTAGCCTAGTGATCTCAGATTGCATGCGGGCTGCTTGCTCGACCTGAAGGCAGCTGGTGGGACATATGCATGACTTGAAAGCAACTAGGAGGCCATATGTTTATTAACAAAATTTCAAACTAAATTAATTTATAATTTTACTTACTAAATATTTATAAAAAGCACATAAACAAATAATAGCAATAACCCATATGGAAAAAATTATCATGCTTATTTTCTATCTGCAACAAATTTCTTTTTATTACATATCATAATTCAGATGTACTAGCAACTAAATATTAAATTTTTGCATTGAGATTTACTTCAGATAATTCTAATATTTTGGAGTAGCCACTAAATAACTTACTTTTAACATAAAATAAACAAATTAGAAAACTTACCAAATGGTCACAGAATACTTCCCAGTGGAAACAAAACTTGAAAATAAATGTGGACAACTTACTCTGTTTCCTTATGTATTGAATTTTTTATCAACACGTGAAGAAAAAAATTCTAATGATTGTGTAAAAAATTATACCTTTCTCTATTTTTTACTACAGCTGAACACCTGATGGCATTTGGAATTTGATATTGTAAATCTATCCATTTTATTTTATTTTTGTCCATATAAACACAGTCCACATGTTTCTAATGATGTTTATATTTTAAATTGTCATTTTCTGAGATGCCATGATTAATGTCCTTTTTTCTTTTAGTTTACTTTGGGGGGTCTGTTAGAGTATTATATATGTGCCTTACATCTGTACTTTTGATTATGTGCCAGTGCCAGCTTCAGAATCAATTGGAATGACTATCTAAATATTTGCTATGCTAGTGCTGTTATGTTTCCTTAATAAACAGTATATTGGAATCCACTGCCTAATGAATAAATCTATAAGTACTGTATTAAAGCAGATACATGGCTGAAATTTATTGGCCCCATAAAATTGCTGTGGGTCTTTGGGGTGACACCAGTTTGAGACCAATGGCCCTAGCCAGTTTGTGTGCTTTTCTATAATTTCAAAATATTACTGCAGTCAAATATTATATCTAAAAAAAAGGGCAAATATTCTTATTAGTTTTGATATTTTTTTATATTTGTATTATAAAATTTTTGGAGGTTTATTGTGCAAATTAATATTATTTTAATTTCTTTTTCTCTCTTTTTCCTTACTTTTTAATTATATCTTTTAACAAAAAGAGCAGCTTAGGAATGGTTGTTGATAGATATTTAGCCCCCCCCCAAAATCCCCCTATTTGTGAAATGCAGAAAAATAAAAAATAATATTTTGTGTCTGCAGTATAATAAATGTATTCCATGAGATTTAATGTATTCCATAAGTAAATATTCCATGAACTCCTACAAAATTGATTTCTATTTAACCGTTTGACTGCTAAGCAATTCTTGCAAGAATGCCCGAAAACTACGGGACATATTTTGACTTGATGTCGTCAAATAAAACACTCTCATTTAGACAAATATCAATCAATTTTAATAATTCTTTTCATATTATAAAGAAACAATATTAATTGTGATTGTGAATAAGAAAAAATAAGCACTAAATTGTTTTTTTCATTGAAAATTAAAATTTATAAAAAGATAAAGTTTATTGATCTTCTCTTATGATCAGCACGTAAAGAATCATTTTGATTAGGGGAAGATCACTGACTCTTACATGAAAAATTTATGTATAACAACTATGTTTTGCCGCACAAATAGCATGAAGGCCTTTTTTACAACAAGCGCATCCCGCTCCTTCTGTTGCTACACACCGCACATTGTCGTAAGTTACGTCCCTGTAATTTTTTGGTTGATGAAGATGGTTGTGTTAACACTTTATTTTTATGATTTATCCACTCCTTTTCGATATCGGTAATAATTTTCGATGTGAATTTGAGCCGGTTCATTTTTTTTCTGGTAGTGTTGGAAACATACAACATATAAGAGTTCAGCACCATTCTTCCAAATATGTTGAATACTACTTTTTTCCAATATTTTAGGGTTTTTCGGTCATCTAAATACGCGTATAACATTTTGTCGCACTTGTCCACACATCCCATGTATTTGTTGTAGTCATCAATCATGCTTGGTTTCGTCTTTTTGTATTCAAAATTTCCTTTCGTTTTCTTGATCGTCACACTATTAGTATCCGAGTTGGATAAAATCAATATGACTGGGTTTGGTTTGGACTTTTTGTCCCTGAAAGAGCACATCAATACATTTTCATTTTGTATTGATGTATTTCGCTTCTCCTGCGATTGCTTTCTTAGCTTCTGGAGGAATCTCTTTTCTGTTATGTCTAATTGTTCCACTTAGATATGTATTTTGTTTCAAAAGGGCTTTGGCCAAGCATAAGCTTGTGTAAAAAATATCTGTAAACAGATGATAGATAGCCTTTGTGCAGATAATATCCAGTTGAAAGCAATTTTTCCTCAACCATAAATCCAAGACCATATTTTTGTACTAAATCTCTGTCATCTGTATTTTTAGCTCCTTTGTAGCAAAACAAAATCAAGCAATATTTAGAAATCGAGTCGCACAACATCCAAAATTTGATCCCCCATTTATGGTGTTTTTTGTTTGGGATGTATTGTTTTATGGCAGAATGACAGTGAGTACCAACTAACGACTCGTCGATAGATAATTGTTGATTTGGTATATAATGCCGCTGAAATACAGTATTTGCATGTTTGACAAGCATATCAAACCTGCCAAATGGGTCATAATTCGGATGGCCTGGTTCAAATAATAATGTATTGTCAATCAAGTGAAAAAACTTCAAAATCGGTTGAAACCTATCCCTTGAAAACATTGTCGTAAGCCATAGTATATATCAGGAACCTTTTATCCAATAACTATCAATTGTTGCCCTTCTCGTAATCCACATTTCGAGTAAGACTGCAATAAAGGCTTTAATTTCGTATATTGTCGGCATCCACTTTTTTGCTTGAGAATTATTCAAAACAGTGTGCGAGGCAAAAAACTGGGTAGCATATCGATTTGTTTCCCTTACGATGGTTTCAAGCAGTGATGTGTTAAAAAATGAATTGAAATATGTTATGGGTGTAGCATCGGGGGGGGGGGAGGTGCACATCTAGGTCCAGGAGTCTTGAAAAAATTATTTGTTGCTTTGGAAAACACATTTCTCAGAGGAATATTTGTAAAAGTTGGTGTTTCTGTTTCTGAAGATGAGATAGAAGACTCACTTTCAATTCTCAGTCTTTTTCTTTGATGAGTTATAATAATGCTATCATCACTACTTGTGTCTGTTCTTTCACATCCTCAGAATCACTAGCAATATTTGTAAAAGTTGGTGTTTCTTCTGTTTCTGAAGATAGACAGAAGACTCACTTTCAATCCTCGGTCTTTTTCTTTGATGAGTTATAATAATGCTATCATCACTACTTATATCTGTTCTTTCACCATCCTCGGAATCACTAGCAATTGAATCAACATCTGAATTAAATAACCCGTAACATGGTTATTTTTTAAAATAATATATAAAAATGGTAAAAGTTATTTTAGAATGCACTCGTGTTACAAAGTACGCATGAGGTCAGACTGTGTGCACACCCACGGAGCAACAAAGACACACTGAAACTCGCAGTGCAAATGCGCTGCGTTACGTTTTTCACAAATGAACGCAGCGCTTTTGAGCCGCATAGCAGTCAAATGGTTAATTTATACCGTAATCTTGTTAAAGTTGCATCACATTGATAAAGAAGGCAAACTAGCACAGCATGAAACTTGTATGTATTAATAATGTATATATTTAATGAAGTAACTCTTATTTTATAATGTCTGCCATTTAAAACAACAGGTTTAAAACTTTGTTATGTTATTGGGGGAAAATATATTTCAGGGTCCTCTTGGCAAAATTTGTTGACTTTTTTGGCACCATTCCTGTTTAGTGCAATGCCCTCCCAAGTAAAATGGCATCCGAAACAATTATAATCTCAAACTAAATTTTAAATCAAAATAAAACAAAGAAATAGCATAAAAATGGAAATATATGCTGTGCATTACAAAAAGGATTGATTTGCCTTATTTAGAAATTTGTGTCATCAATGTGAATCACACAGAATTCCTTAGCAGCATTTAAAAACTGTTTAAAATGATCTGAACTAGAATCTGTATAGTGCTGCCGCCACATAAACTCACAAAAGTAAGAGTCAAAAGTATCCTCAGTAGTCCCAATCTGTCAGTGGCATTTTTTTTTAAATCCCTTTTTATTACATCCCACATACCTTTGATAGTGTTAATATGGGCTCCGGTTTTTGAACCACTGCGTAATTTACGAAGAGGTGGAATGATCAGAAAGATAATCGTATGACTTCCAGCAATCAGATGTGATTGTTGTTCCAGGTTTTATATTTCATTGAATTATGATTGAACCTTCATTTACACACCAATCGATTAATGCTTTCTTTTCCATTTGTTCCAAATTCCAAATCGTACAGAAACTTCATGCTAATTTTGTCATCGTCAGCCACTTCATGGTGAAAAGCACAAAATAAGCAACGTACTTCCTAACTGTCATCCAACGCAGAAATAAGCCTTGAGAAATATTTTCCCAACAATTAAATTCAGCGTGATCACGCATAAAATACTCAGTTTACCATAACTGAAAGAACAACTTGGTGATAAATAGAACAACAACGTGGCAATAATCCAAGGGGTACCCCAAAATGTAAACTAGCCTGTTATTGTTCTATTTCAAGAGCTAGAGGCTGCATTAAAAGTACTTTAAAAAATTTAGTGATACATTTAATAGGTTACAATTCTTATTACCAGATTAACTGTTATGTCATATTTGATGAGAAAAATGCAATATGCATATTGCAGCTCCAAAAAATGCACTTGGAATTTTGTGAAAATATATTTAATAAAATTTTAATAATTTCCTAAAATTAGAATCAAAATTTACAAGACTAATGAAAAAGTGAGAAAAATGCATGCAAGCATTTGAAGGTTTAATTTTTATTGCTTATTATTAAGCTGAAAGTTATTTTAATCCAATTAGTAATGAATTTTAGCATGAACTAGGAAAATATAGAATCTAATTACTAAATTATATAGTAATAAAAAAAATGGATCTTTTCTAGAAGTCAAGAATTGTTTTTATTTGCTCATATATCTTATGATTCACTTTCTAACCACCAGTAGTAAGTGCTACTGCTAGTTTGATTCTCAGTTCAAACCTCAGTGAATGGCTGTCTGCATGGGTGATTTTATGGTTTTCCCCATGTATAACATAGATATTAGCCAGATTACCTTTGAAGACATTACACACCTTAGGCAGAGAGCTTTCATGTGCTTTGTCATATTCAACTAATCTAATACAGTAATTTGAAACTGAAATTGCATAAGAGCCGAATGCATGATCTGATGTAGTTTCTCCATTGGTTAGCAATATGAATTACACAGCAGTGCACCCAGTTAGCTAACAAGTGACTGACTGAAGTATATATCAAAAATAACAAGTAAATAAATAAAATAAAATTAAAAAAAAAGAAAGAAAACTGGAAACACTAGAGTATTGAAATTCCACTGCTGGCTAGTGAACTTAATTTACTGATGTTAGAAGCACTCTCACCTTATTTATACAGGTCATGTTGTCTGGCATACAAGCAAGCCCCAATGTATGCATTCTTTCTCTGATTCCTTCAACAGCACTCGAACATATAAACTCTGCCCATATCTGTATATTTCTAAAACTATAAACTAGATTGTGGTCACAGCCCACGAAGACTGCCAACTAGTTTGGGACCATTGACCTAATCAAACCAGACACTCCCTGAATGTTAAAATTTATACGAGTTAAAGCCTTTAATTCTTCAAAAATTTCATCATATGTTGTGCTGGCTGCAATATGATGTTAGTAATGTCTCACTTTGAATGGATTTTTCAGGTACTTATGAAAATTATTCGAGACATTGAGAACTGTTAAGTGATGATGGATTCTCATTCAAATGAAATGTACTTTATCTCATTCGTTATCACATATGCAGCTATTATATGCATAATAATATCTATAATTAATGCTCTTTACCCAAGCAAGAGTTTAGGATCTAACTCAAAAGACAGAGAAATGTCAAAGAGAATAAAACAACTGCAACTATCTGAGCTAATATTGTAATGATGCAAGCACAATACTTTATTTATATACAGTACAAAGTCTGTAATCGTCAGGACTTCGGCGATTCCGGATTAGGGGTTTTTCCGTATTATAGATCATCAATTTAAATCTGGTAAGATGGCATGCAGAAATTATACAATTAAAAATATGAAACCGTAATTTATGAAATAAAGAGCAATTATGATCTAAAGGGTATCAAATTTTACAAAAAAAAAGCTTAATATTTATTTGTTTACTTTATTAAACATTTCTTTCAACGCGCACATGCGTAAAGCATACTAATGTATGCTTTGCGCATGCATAAAGTTTGTGTCTTTGAGGTCTGGCTTATAGATCATTCCGGATAATGGATGTCTGGATTACGGACTTTGTACTGTATTCTTAATTAAATGTTTTATGCCTTATTTTAAAATGAATCGGTTTTCTTTCATAAAGTCATTTGTTTTGAATATTTTTTTTATCTTATTTCGTAAAATAATTTGTTTGAAGTATTGTTCTTTTACTGTCATTTTGCTTAAGAAATTTATTAAAGCAATGTGATTATTTATGAATATATACATGACTGAAAAAGATGTTAATGAAGGTATTTTTATTGGACTGAGAACCTATGCTGTCATCTCATTATACTTGTGCTGAAGGGAAATTAAGAGTTTGCTCTTTTACATTTAATAGCTGCACCATCAATAAGCAAAAGTCCTCCTAAAGCAATAGAAAAGGTAAAACAGTCATCACTTGGTTCATCTGCTCCTAAACCAGGTGTAACTAAAGCAACTAAGCAGCCATCAAGTAAGCTAGCATCTGCTAAACAGGCACCTGTTGTTAAAACTTCAACTCCGAAAGTGTCTTCTGCCAAGAAAAGTTTGACAAATAAGAAGAAAGCTGATATTCTTGCCCCACCATCAACTGGTGATGTATCTGAAGATAAAACTAATCCTTTAGCTAAGGTAAGATAAAATTTAATTTTACAATAAAGCAATTTTATAACCTTTGTTAAACAGGTTAAACTAGCAAATGCTCAGTTTTTTTGTTAATACTAAGAACTAGGGGGAAAACAATTCTGATAGAAAAGTTATTGCTATAATTAAATTGCCAACTGTTATAGTGAATTTATATGAAGTTATGTATGTGCCTAGAACATTCAAGTCATTCAGGAGGGTACAGTTTCACAAATCAGATCATAACATTGTTTTTACTTCGTTTATTATGTTGTATAACTGTGACGGTATCCGGACATAATCCCGACAAGCCATGATGATCAGCTGCAACACTGCTCCAGAAAACTCTGGCATTGTTGTGGGGTCAAAGGCCTCTGTGAGCATAACTGTGTCTCAGACAATCGCCATAAGATGGTGGACGGTACCACGGGAGGTATACATGTGGCTGTAGTGCGTTGAATAGTTGACAATGGGACCCTTGGTGCAGTTCGGGCCTGGTGAACAATCATCCTATCTTTCTTCGCATTTGTGCTCTTTGGCCTTCCAGAGCCTTCATTTGGCAATTTCCTTGTAGCAACATTTCTGCCAACATCTTTGGCACAGCAGTGTCTGTACGCTGCAGGTGGCAGCTTATTGCTTGGTATGACCACCCAGCTTCACTCAACCCTACAATGCTACAAACGTTCGAAGTCGTTTAGTTGTCTGCAAGGTCTTCAATATCGTCCTAATGTCATCTTTAGTTGCTACTTTACGGAATTGCAATGGTAGCAACAAAAAAGATAAATTTTTTGTCTCTCTTAATGGTTTTATACTTAACGAATTGCGCACTATAATCACAATTCCTGTTCATTTGCCTTGAAACTTTGATCATTTGTATGCATTTGTCTTGAAATTTTGATCATTTACATGTTCGATCAAGATGTTTTTGCATATTAAATTTCTTCATGATTGCAAAAAGTCTTTTTTAGTGCTTCAATTTTTTTGCAAAAGAATGTATATGTAAAATATTATACATTATAGGAATAATAATAATAAAATTTAAATGAAAACGTAATATATGACAAATGAGATAAAAACAAATTTGCCTTTTAAAATATTAATATTTTTTTAGTAAATAAAACTTATATAGGTATGGCCTAAAATAGATTCCAGTATTGAAATATGTGGGCAAATGATCATTCTGTTACTGATTTCATAATAAATTAATGATAGAAATGTCTTTTATTGTGTGATGAGAATTTTTAATGCAGCAGAAATATAGTGTACTGTTGTAAATAGTTTGAAATGTAAAATCGAAGATGATCTTTGTTAGGATTGGCATGGCAGCAACAACCCTGCCAGCAGGTTCTGAGACTAGGCAATTTAGTCGGTGAATGCGTATGATTTATAGGTATATACAGTCAAAAGTTGTTAATTCGGACACCCATAATCTGGAATGATCTATAATCTGGACCTCAAAGCTAAAAACTTTCTGCGCATGCGCCACGTTGGCACATGCGCACAGCCGCTTTACACGTGCGCGTAAGACCTTGACGACTGCGCATATGCGTGTGCACAAGTGCAGAATACGTTTTCGCCTGCGTGTTTAATCTATGACGGATGGTGTAAGGTAAAATTATCTAATTATCTATTTCAGTTAATGTTAATGATTGCGTTGTTCCTTAATCTTTGAATTGGATCCCGCTTATTATTTTTTGCAGACTGTAAGAGCAATTTTATAAAAGTAAACTTGAACTTTCGATCATGTCAAATAGAATTTCCAATGCTGGAGCTCTCAAAGGATCTACAAAACGAAAGTATGTTTCGATGTCCATCAAACAAAAAGTGGAATTGCTGCAAAAAATGGATAAAGACATGAAGAAGGTGACAGAGAAGTTAGTGAAAACGAAAAAATTTCGATTGACAAGTTAGTCGGTATTCTCGGCACAGCAATTACGGGACTTGAACAGCGGAACTTTGTAACTGAACAAGAAATTATGTCTGTTTATAGAATAAAAGAGAAAGTATTATCACATAAAACGAAGCAACTTAAACAATTTATATTGATAGAAATGTTTAATAAAGTAAACAAATAAATATTAAGCTTTTTTTTTTTTTTGTAAAACTTTGTTACTCTTTAGATCATAATTGTTTTTTATTTCATAAATTACGGTTTCATATTTTTTAGTTTTAGAATTTCTGCATGCCATCTTACGAGATTTAAACTGATGATCTATAATCCGGAATCGCCGAAGTTCCGACGAGTCCGGATTAACGACTTTTGACTGTATAAGGTTTTGAAATATGATGCAGAAACCAGGAAGACTGAGCTACAGTTATGTCTAATACTAGGAAAAGTAGACTAAGGCATATTAACATACAACCTTAAATCTTATAGAGAATTATTGTCTCTCATTCTTCCAAAATTTCCTCATAATATGTGGTAAACTGTGAAATTATTGAACTAATGTTTAAATTAAATAGAACAAATATATAGGGTATACACAGTCTCTGACACATTTTAATTATTAATATATTAGAAACCATTGAAGATGCAAATAAACTGATAGCAGTGATAGACAGATAAACCTTAAAAAGTTTTGTGTACTTCTGTATGTGTTCCTTTCAAGGCATGAAGAGTGTCAAGTTTGATAATAGTGTTCTTGCCACATATGATCTAGCATGTTGATATCCACAGTGGTTACCATGTCGGTTATTTTGGCTCTCAGGTCATCAATATTCATTATTTTTGTCTGATAAAACAATATTTTTCACAAAACGCCAGAGTAAAACATCTGATCCAAGATACTTCTTGTAACGCCAGAGTAAAAATTCTGATCCAAGATACTTCTTGTTTCTGAATTTTTTTTTACCAGTGAAGGGTGCTGTTTGCAGGATCTTTCTGGCAATTTGTTCTGAAATTTCTGTGTGTTTGTATTGCTGATTTTGTTTATAGAAACGAGCACACAGCTTGAGCTTTCTTGTGTGTACTTCGCATTTTTCTCAGTTAGACTAGATTGATTATCCCTGATAGTGCCATCTATAGACTTGTTTTAGTTTGGAAAGAAAAGCTTGCAAATTTACTTCTGTTAATGTGGCCAAGCAGTATAACTAGATGAACAGGCCGGCTGTATGGGAATTCGTAGGGGTTTCCTATGTGTAAAATTTTTTAAGGTTTTTCCCAAATGTAACATGGATATGAGCATGTTTTCCTTAAAAAATCCACTACAAAGTCATTTTTTCCCTTAGATATACCAGAGCAGATTAGAGCTATCTAATGTTTAAATTAAATAGAACAAATATATAGGGTATACACAGTCTCTGACACATTTTAATTATTAATATATTAGAAACCATTGAAGATGCAAATAAACTGATAGCAGTGATAGACAGATAAACCTTAAAAAGTTTTGTGTACTTCTGTATGTGTTCCTTTCAAGGCATGAAGAGTGTCAAGTTTGATAATAGTGTTCTTGCCACATATGATCTAGCATGTTGATATCCACAGTGGTTACCATGTCGGTTATTCTGGCTCTCAGGTAAGATAGCTCTAATCTGCTCTGGAATAATCTAAATAGTACTGTTCAGTCTAATTTCTTATCCTTGATTCATACAGTTGATAAACTACATATGGTAATAAGTTTTCATAAGCATCTTGCAAATTCAAAATATCTTTTTGTTTTTATTTTAGTTCATAATTTAAGCAGAAGAATGTTCCTGGACTTCTATATGTTTCTGCATTATATTCTAATTTTTGTGTTACTTACCTTTGATTTAAATATAACATTTCAATTGAATTCCTTGGTAAATGAAAAATTTATTTGTTTTAAATGTGAATTACAGGCTTAAAAATACAAGTGTATCCAAGATTAGGAAAATTATTTTTATTTTTTAAAAAAAAATCACAGTTTTATGTTAAAAAGTATATTATTTTATGCTCTGAATGATGATTTTTTTATAGCCAACCACTAGCCCTCCTAGCTCCCCACCTCCTGATCAAGATATTAATGCAGAAAATGAAAAGAATAATGCTAAACGTATCATCTCGGAGGAAGAAGCAAAGGCTGCTCTTGCAGAAAAACGACGTTTAGCAAGAGAACAGGCTGAAAAAGAAGCTGAATTAGAGCGGCAAAGGCTGGAACAGTTAAAGTAATGAAATGAGAGTTTTTATTTCAGTTTAAGTGTGTTATGTTTTCAGTTTTTTTAAAGGATGCTGTTTTATTTTGTGGGTATGGTGTAATATATGAACAATGAAATATTTGCATGACTTTCTTTTATAACTTGTATGTTCAAACAGTTATATCTGTATTTTGTTACATTGACCAACCGTTGCATACTAAACCATGCAAATACAGAACTCTCCTAAAACACATTTAGGGGATTGCAGTGAATTGGATCAGTTTGATTCCGAGATCCAAGTGCAAATGAAAATTTCAGAACTTCAAATTTTGCATTTAAAACATGTAGGGAAGTATGGATAATTAAACTGAATAATTAGAATTTTTATGCAGTGTGTTTTTATTAGAATTAAAGAGTTAAAAAGGTTTTTCATGGTAGCTCAAATACTTTCCTAAAAAGTTGTATGAATAAAGTAAAATGTAGTATGTGTAGATTAGAAAGTAGGAAAGTCAGAAAGTATCTGGATGTGGAAGATAATTTAGTTGGTGAAGGTATTCTTACTGCAGATAACATTCTTATTTGATTGTGCTTAGAAAAAGAAGAAAGAAAGCAAAAATAAATTCATATTCAAAATAATTGTCTGTGTTATTATTTCCCTAGTGTTGATACAAACTAAACCATCCAGTTACTGATCCAGGACAAATTACTTCCAGCATTTCTCAGTGTAGTAGAAATGTTTATGGGTTATCAAAATGTTTTTTGGTGTTAATAGATTAAGTGAAAGGTATTTCTAAGCAAATGATTATGAAAAGTATTATTCAATATATTAACTCCCCGAAAAAAAGATACCTTATTCACAGAATCTTACATAATTTGGTTTTAGAAAGCACTAGCAGTCTTTTCATCATTAGTACATGGTCAACTCGTAAGAACTTGTAGCAAGAATAAAAATTTTAAATATCTATGATTAATGAATTTTTTTGCATGATGATTAGATAATGATTCTAAAGTAATAAAATAATGTTTGGAATCGATCTCAAATTATAACTCCTCGAGGCAAGCTAGAAATGGCATCAAATACCTCAAATATTGAAATTAAGTATCTTGTCAAATTATTTCTTTTATTTTTTATAACGAGTATAAAATTTTTCTTAGTATAGGTGCTGGAGCACTGTATAAGAAGTTAGATTTCATAATTTTTATAAAATTTGTGTTTTTTAATTTGAAAATTCTGGAGCATAAGTATTTGCAACATTTTGATAACGGGAAGTACAAGTCTACGGCTAGTGGTTTTTAAAGTAAAGTAAACTTTATGTGGGTTGCATATTTCAGTATATTTAAAGATTTGTTAAAATACCACACATATTAAAAATGTTACATTATTTTTATTTCTGTTTTGATATTTTGCCGTAAATTAATTTGAGATAGCTAAAAAATTGACATGTAAACATTTATGTATCCAGCATGCTTCTAGAGCAGATCATCATTCTTGAAATTTGTTTTGTTATGTTATTTGAAAACTGGAAGATGCTAGATTTGGGTCATATATTTTCCATAATTATTTTTAAAATAAAGTTAGAAGTTTTATGGATTTTTCATCCTGATATGATTTGCCTGTATCATGCCGAAAGTAACATTAATCAAACGTGTATACACAATATTAGTTTTATGTGGTAAATTGCAAATTTTTTAATAATTGTACTATTTTCTTGCATTGTGCATACTTATAGCAAATCATGAGATGAAATAAACAACTAATTTCATGATTTATACAGTATTTGCATTATACTCAGTATGGTATTGGCAGTAATCATACTGCATTTGCTTTGCATTGAATCTAAATTTGTGGACAATATTTAATAATTTTGAATGTCTAGTGAAAAACTTGTCTTAATAAATTTATAACCTTCTGTTGTCTTTAATGGTTTGATATGAGTATAATAATTGGTTTCAATGAATTATTTACAATATAGAGACTGAGTAAATTTATCATGATGTTTTAATTAATATTTCTGGTGCTTCCATTAGAGCCATACCGTATGGTACCTTTGTTTGTTTTGGCAAATTTTCTTAGCACCAGATAGCATAAATTTGCTTTTTGGCTTTTATCCTGGCCTTAAATGCCTTTGTACCCATCATTGGTGCAACTGTGTTTTCCATCTAGTATCTTTCTCTCTCCCTCCCCATCTTCTGCAACTTGGGATTTGGCCAGAGATGAAGAAGTAGCTATCTTGTTTCTCTAAGAAAGAGATTTTCTTCAGAAAGAAAGCATGTATTTAATAATCGCATCTTTAAATTAAAATTTTATTGTAACTTGAAATCCTAATGGTTATGCAACCTTTTATGCTGGGAAATTTACGTGTGTCCAAACACAAGCATGATTTTTCAGACCTTCTCAAGATGCCAGAGGTTAGTGTCTATTGAATTTTCCAAACCAAAACTTGCTTCATATGAATCACAGCACAGCAATTGATTAGAATAATTGCTCAGGTAGTGCTAATTTCTTATTATTTGGTCCTAAACTAAATTCACAAAAAGAGAGAAAAATAATTTTTTTTTTTTTTCGTGAATAAAGTTTAGGATTTAATAACTGTTCCCTTCCCATCAGTAGTCTGTAGGAGAATTTCATTGACATTTGAGAATGGTTCTCGGTCTGAATTGTTCCATTTTGTCTGGTATTTAGCTAAAGGCGTGGGAAAAGAAATAAGGCCAGATATGCCATTTTGTCTTTAATGGAAGAGTGCCAAATTTCTTTTATCCTTTTCAGCCCTTGCATAATGTTCTATTTTTAACAGTATAATTTTACCTAAATCTAAGAAATCCACTTATTTTTTTAATTAAGACAAGAAGAAGACAAACGTATACGCAAAGAGGAGGAAGAGCAGAGAAAAATGGAAGAAGAGCAAATTCGTCTTGCAGAAGAGCATCGTCGACAGGAAGAAGAAAAACTCAGAAAAGCAATTGAAGAACAAGAACGTAAAGAAGAGGAAGAGAAGGCGAAGCGTGAAGAAGAATTGCGTTTAGTAAGCATTTTATGAGTTGTTTTCATGTATTTTATCTCTTTTTTTACGTAATGTTATATATATTCTATAATATTTTAAATGTGAAATTGGTTCAGAACCTACAATTAGATTTTTTTGCTGACTGGTAAATTTAGTTTTTTGTATCTAAGTTTTATAACTTGTTAATCTTATTTCTGATATTGGATAACTTTAAAGTAAAAGTAAATTTTGGTATTAGTAATTTTCTGTACCAACATTTAAAGCATTAATTTAAACTTTGTTGTATGAGGCATTATATTAGCTCCATTTTGCTGTTTGCATAATGAATTATAATATTTATAAATTTAGAAAGCTGAACAAGATAGGAAGGCCAAAGAAGAAGCTGAAAAACAAAGAATTGAACTTGAAGAAAAGCTTCGTAAGGAGGAAGAAGAACGAGCTGAGAGGAAGAAGGCAAGAATTCATTTCGCATTTCCATTAACCTAACTATGCATCTTTAAGCTGTAGGATCAGATTTAGAGATTCATAATTTGAAATTTGAGAGGAAACTTAGGATATTTTAAAGGGTGGCATTATATTATAGACAACATTTGTATTTTAATGTATTTCGTTCTAAAAATTGTGTAAAAAATAATTTAAATTTATGATATGTAAATGAGGATTATGACATGTTGAAAACTACGTGTGATATTTTATAAGTTTTCATTTTTTCATTTATCATTTAAAGAGCTCAACTACAAATGAAAATAAATGTAATAGGGCATTATTTTTATTGTAGTAGGGCTCTCTTATTTTTGCAGCTAATATTTTTTGATGATTCTGAAATTATTTAAATCTGTATGAAGGTAAGAAATTTTGGTACTTGCTTATTATCTCATTGACAATGAAAGTTGGTGGAAATCTCACCAAAGTTGTGCCAGTATTTCATGCAGAATTCCAAGTCTCATTTTTGTCTGTTTAACAATAGGAAATTTAACAGTAAGAACATCATTAGTCTCTGCACAATTCATCAAATAGCCACTGCAGAAGTATTTGACACACTTTGTAAATAGGCTTTTTGTCAATTTCTGTTATTTTGTTAGACCCTCTGATTTTACCAAAAGCTTTGTGTAGAACAGTATGAATGCAAATCTCCCATAGATGATAGTTTCAATGTATTACCGTTCTGTCGGCTATATCCAGTTATTTACTCCCTTTCAACAGATGTTTGTTCTTTTGATCAGCTATAAATGAATCAGAATTCAGTCACAGAAGTGATTATGCAGCTTAAAAGCCTTTCACATCCTAAATGCAAAGGAAAAAATAAAATAACAGCAATTTATATTCTTGTTCATAAAAACAAAAGGTGGCTTGTCCAGAATCAATTGGGGTATATCAAATGAAAGTGTAAATGTCACGAGTGTGTTGTGATGTCAAACTTATAAATAACTGGCAATCGATTGCGCTGCTTGACAACAGTTTCATGTTCAATGGGATAGTACGTAAATACCCAAATTTTTGTGGCAGTATCTATAAAGTTAATTGAAAAGTTTAAAAAAAATAATAAATCATGTTAATGTTCATAAACAATGTTCACCAGTAAAATTAATTAAAAATGCTTTATCATAATAAGTAGTGGATAATGCAGTACAAGATGTCAGTTAATAGTGGTAAAAAATATTTCTAAATAATCTAAAAATTTAATATGAGACTGAATTTTATGTTCAGGTTGTGAGATATTGTTTTATGTATAAGATCTCCAAAAGATAATCTTTTGAAATAACATTATTTAACCATGAGTACAAAGTTTGATATGCATTGCAGAGATATTAAATACAGATATGCATTTCAGAAGTTAGTCTTACAGGAATAGAGATGTATTGCAGAGGTTAGTCTTTAGTTAAAGTCCCTTTAACTACTTAATTGTTAGCTGAATTTTATTAATAATGGCATTGAATCTTTTAATCTGAGATTTCTTATTTTTTTTACTTAAACTTTTATTTGTAAATATGTATTGTTTTTAAGACCAGATGTAGATGAAAATTAATTAAACTTGCTATTGCGGTTTTACAGTGATAGTTCAAATAGAATTTTTGCTATTGATGATGGAATTTTAATACAGTCAAAAGTCATTAATCCAGACTCGTCGGGACTTCGGCGGTTCCGAATTATAGATCATCAGTTTAAATCTGGTAAGATGGCAGTCAGAAATTATAAAATTAAAAAGTATTAAACCGTAATTTATGAAATAAAGAACAATTATGATCTAAAGGGTATCAAAATTTACAAAAAGCTTAATATTTATTTGTTTACTTTATTTTTCAACGCGCGCATGCGTAAAGCATACATTACGCATAGTCGAAATTAGAAAATTGCAACCAGAAAACTATTTGATGTGTATTCGTGATATTTATAATGAATTTGATTTAAATCATATAAAAGACAGAGTACATAGAGATGAAATACCACATTTAGTAATGAACTATAAGCATCTAGCCGAAAGCTATAATAAAATAAAAACATCTGCCCTTGAAGATATGGATAGTGCTGACAGATCAACTTCCAGTTCATTGAGTGCGGCGACGTTCCCCTCCCTTCCCCTCCCTCGCAGAGCAGCGTGAAATTGATAAACAGATTTCGGAATGGTTAGAAAAACAAAGGATATGCCTAGTTATCCATTTTTGCAGCCAGTTTCCACATTTTTTTTTTTTTTTTTTTTTTTTTTTTTTTTTTTTTGTTTTTAATGGACTTCAAAATATACTTTCTCTTTGTAGATCCTTTACATATTAGTAAATATATATCGGAAATTCTATTTGACATAATCGAAAGTTTAAGCTTACTTTTATAAAATTGCTCTAACAGTCTGCAAAAAAATAATAAGCCAGATCCAATTCAAAGATTAAGGAACAATGCAATCTGCAACATTAACTGAATTAGATAATTTTAGCTTAGCTTATACTGGCCGTTATACATTAAACGCGCATGCGTAAATGTATTACGTGCATGCGCAGACAGTTTGTAGATTTGAGGTCCGGATTATGGGTGTCCGAATTAACGACTTTTGACTGTAGTATGACGGAATAATGAATCGTTTGTCAATTTCTAAATTATAAAAATTAAATCTGTTTAGAGTTATTTTTGAAAGCAGTTTTTCAAATAAGAAAAGGTTAAAATACTATCCTTAGAAAAGTAAAGATACTAGAGATACACTTTGAGTGTCGTATGCGAGTCTAAATTTTTGTTATATATTTAGAATGAATATAAATATTTATTAAATAACTGCAAGAATTAGAACACCTATAAATGTTAGATTTCAAAATTGAATTTTAAAATTTAAAAATGCCAATCTCTAAATATTTTCCTTATTTGAAATGTTTTTTATAACTAGAAGCATGTGTTCAATAATTGATAGTTGCAAAAACTAATTAAATAATTGATAGTTGCAAAACGTCCATGCGTGACTTCATTTGTCAGAAATTGACAATCGAAGTCACGCATGGACTTTTCAGGTATTTCTAGATTATATGAAAAAGACAACACACATTAAATTCAGTTTTGAAGGTAAGAATCAAATTTTGCTTAGAAGTGACAGTTTTTCCTTGATAGCATACCTGCCAACTTTTACGAATTTTTCGTAATTTTTACGAAAATGCGTTTTGTCTTTACGATTTTACGATCGTAATCCATTTTTTCGATTTTTTTCCTTTTTCAAGTGTTTTTAGTGATTTTTGTCGAAATTTTAGAATTTTTCACCAATTCAGCGATTTTCGCCAATTGCATCGTGTTTTACCGCCAACTACCGACTACTTTTGAATCCAGTAACCTGCGGTTTCTCCCAACTTGCCGCTTAACCAGCCAATCCAATGGGCTGAACTTGTTTCTCCCACTCTTTTCTTTGTGGGCGCCAGATTATTTTTTTCGCGTTTGCTTCAGCAGCAAGGGAATTACTCAGCGAGCGTGGATTGTCGCATTCTGTTTTGTTTTTTGTTTGCACGTGCTACGAATTTTTTTAATACGTCGTTGTTACGAAATGAGTTAAAAAAAAAAAAACCATATTCTCAATATTTTCGGCCTGCCGACAAAGCCGATTTTCCAACAATTAAAGAATCCTTCAAAGGAAATAACTATGCATTTTGCAACGTGAGCGTGTGTGACTTCATAATAAGTTACAGTGGAAGAAGCGACATTGTGAAGCATGTTAAGTCTAAAAAGCATGAAGTTATGCTTCGGCTTCGACATCGTCAAAGAAAGTGGATGATTTTTTTTCAAATTCGGCTATGAATTCGGATGCCGATGTCATTTTGGCAGAGTGTTTGTTTACTGCATTCCTCATCGAACACAACGTGCCGCTAAGCGCTGCTGATCACGCCGGTTCTCTCTGTGAGCATTTCAGACGGATGTTTCCCGATTCCAAGATTGCTCAGAAATATGCTTGTGCTCACACGAAAACATCTTCTATTGTGAACGAAATTGCTTGCGATGCACAGAGTAAAACGATAGCTGCACTCCAGAATTCAGCATTTTCGGTGTCAATCGATGGCAGCAACGACAGCGATTGGAAGCTTTACCCCATCGTTGTCACATATTTCTGTGATGTTTCTGATGAAATGAAAACTCATCTTTTGCATCTTCCATTGTTAAATGGAAACGCTACAGGGGAAAATATTGCCTCCTTGGTAATTAATGAGTTGAAACAACTTAACATCCCAATATCAAGCTGCATTTCATTTGGTGCAGATAATGCTCATGTCATGGTGGGTGACAAAAAGGGTGTAGCCTCTTTCCTCAAAAAAGAACAGAATGAATTAATTGTTATTGGATGCCCATGCCACTTAATTAATTTGGCAGCAGAGAAAGCTGCAACTGTAATTCCACACAGTAATGCTGAGCGCGAGAGAGTCTTCAGTGTTGTGAACAAAAAAAACTATGTTTCGTTTTCAATTTCCACCAAAAAACTCTAGAAAACATTTTAATTCTAAATGTTATGAGGAAACTAATTGTTATGACAGGAAATTTTCCAAAGAATTTTTGGCTAAAGCCAAAAAAATGCACTCATTCATTGCAATAATTTTTTTTTGTGTAACATTAAGTTCTGTTTTATGTTCCTAATAAATTTTTTAGTTACTACTTAATTGAGATTTACTAATGCAAGTGCAATTTTCTTTTTTCTATTTGTATAATTGTTTTTTTATAATATCAAGCATGATATTAATTCTTCGTGTTCTTCTGAATTTTTATCTTTAGAGGTGGCGGTATGTTGATAGGCTTCCTTTTATATAGTAGAACTTATAATTAAATTTTATTAAATTTTTAATGAAGCTAAATAAAAAAGTTAGCATTTCACTTCTAGTTATGATGAAATTAAAAAATAATAATAATAAGCATTTAATACATTTTGCTACTTTTGTATGTACCTTGAAATAATTCTTCATAGAAAATTTCTCTGTTCTGTCAGTGACATCATCTTTGAAAACTGCCAAAATATTTTGCCAAATAGCCATTATTTAACATAAAAAATTTTCAAAATTTCATTTAATGATTTTCTTTTTGATTATTAACCAACCACATTTAGTAATGTTCTGAGGTTTGGCAGCCAAGTCTCAAAGATGGTGTTGCTAATTGAAAGTACCAGCTTTTGCTCATAATTAATCACAGAATAAAGAATCTGGACATATAATTTAATTATATAAAATTATATGTGTTTCTTTTTTTAATATATTTTAGAGACTGGAAAAAATAATGAGTAGAACCCGAGGAAAAGCAAGTGGTACATCACCATCTGGAAGTGTCAGCAGTAGTGATCAACTTGATTCTGCAGAAAACCAAAATGAAGGTTTCTCAAGTGGTGCCAATTCATTAGAAAGCAATGAAGGAGGCGATTTGGCAAGTGAATCAGTGTCTGTAGATGATAATCAAACCAAAATTGAACAAGAAAGTGTTGGAAATTCAACAGAAGTGAATCCTACCTATGAAGTTGTCAGTGAAAGTGAATCTCTTAATAGTAATGATTTGATAATGCCTTCTAGTGAAACTGCATCTCTAGATAATAGCTTAATAATTATTCCCAATAAAGATAACTTAGTTGAAGCTCAATTTACTGTTGAGCAATCATATGCTAATGATGGGCATGCCATTGAAATTAGTGCTGATGCAACTGCAATTGAATCTGCTGCTGAACCTACTGATTTAGGCTTAGATACAACTGTTGAATGTACTGATTTAGGCTTGGATATGGGTAAAAAAAGTGATTGTTTACTTCCTGAACCTGAAATTAATAGTGCAGTATCTGCTGAAAATCTTGCAGAATTTAAAGGTACTGCCAAAAATACAGCTGATGAGCATCTGTCTAATTTGGATGATGTAGAAAATGAGAAGGTTTTTGAAAACCAGCAGGTACTAGAAAGTCATGAATATATTAGTTCTTCAAATGATTTTCTACAAGAACCTGTTACTGAAGCCATTGTGGATCAAAGTTATTCTGTAACCGAATCAGCATCTTCCGATGTTCAGGGTCTGAAAACTGATTTGGCAGAGCCTACTGAAGTTGTCCCTACATATGCTGGAATTTCAAAAGAAGCTGTTGATAATATTGATGCAAATGAAGCCTTTGGTTTAGATGCCGAACAGTATGATGATAATGCAATCAAAGAGAATGAAATTTCTAATACAAATGTTGCACTGTGTGATGATGATGATGCAGTGGAATCAAATACATTACCTACTGAATTGTTGTTGCCAAATCCTTCTATTTCAGATATAGATCCTGAAGAAGCCATATCTGATGGAAATCCTCATTACAGTATTTCTTCAGATATGAAACTCCCAGATCCCATATATGAGACATCTGATGAAGGCTCTGTTTCGTTTGATAAACAGCAACAGGAATACAGTCCTTATATGCTAGACCAAACGTCAGCATATAATACAGAGGTAGCTGGAGTGTCAGATGATGTTTTTTCAGAGCAAGATATCACTCTTGTTAGTTCTGCTGTTCCAAAGCAGCCAGATGAAGAAATTAATTTTGGTTCTAGTGAATCTTTTCAAAAACAGTTATTAAATTATGAAAATCAATTTCAAACAGATATAAATGAAACTAAACGTGTTGCACAGGATGATATGTATGATTATGAAACATCCAGTGTTTTACAAAGTGCACTTGAGCAACCACGGGAAATAGGTGAAGAGAATGTTGTTCCATCTAAATCATCAACATCCAGCTTCAGTGCTGTAGAACATGACACACAAGCTGAAGTTAAATATCAGAATGATTTTGATGTAAACAATGAAGCAGATAAGGAAAATAGGAATGATATTTTACATTTCCCTTCATCGCAACAAAATCCATTTCGTAATAATGAAGATAATCCTGTAGATCCATTTGATATTTATTCAGAAAAAGAGAATATTCAGTTTTCTACACCTGAATCGGAAAGATTTACCAACGAAGTGGCAGTAGATTTAAATCAAATGCATGGTTTGGGTGTTAATGAAATTAATACACAGTTTACTGAAAATAACCCTTTTTCTACAAATCAGTCTGAATTTACTTTCTCTGAATCTAAGGTATATAGCGATATCATAGATAATAAACAACAAATAATTTCAGGTTCTGAGCAAATTAGTGATTTTAATAACCAGAATATTACCAGTGAATCTTCAGATTTTGCTGATATAACTGTTATAAAAGCAGAAGGAAGTGAAGATTGTATTGGAATAATATCTTCCGTTGATCATGACCAAATTTCAAATGACTTTATGAAACAAAGTTTACATAATGAACAATTAAGCTCCAATTTTGAATATGCTTCCATTACGGACAGTGAAGATAGTTCCTTAGATAGTAATTTATCGCAAGTAATGACTGTAGAAGACAATAAAAAAGAATCAATTGAAGGTCTTAATCATGTCGAAAACTTTCCAGAATCAAAATCTGTTACATCTATTTCAAATACTGTGGAACAAGAGCAGTCTTTTATAATTGAGCATACTTTCAATGGTGATAGCTTGTCAAAATCAAATGGGAGTCATCTCGGTCCTTCAGTGATTAGCAATGGACATAGGTTAGTATTATTTTACTATTATTGAACTTTAGTGTTTTGTATATATATATATATAGATATATATATATATATAGTAATGTAAAATAAAAACATGTTTAGAATTCATCCTATATTCAGTTTGGAAAAAATTGCATGCCATGCCAATACCAAAAAACAGAAGCACAGTGGCAAACTTAAGAAATGGGCATAAAATGCCAAAAACAAACAAGAAAAATGATATTTACATCTTTCCTTATATTGTCATCAGGGGGTTGGTGCAACAAAATAAGTGAGATAGCCTGTTTGAACTGATGAGAACATAAATTTAAATTTTATCAATAATCTTAGAAAAACTTTTATTAACAAAATGTGTCTACCTCAGCTTCAAAGTTTTAAGAAAGTCCACATGAGTGAGTTCTATGTTCTGTAACATTTGGCAACTTCTTTCATTTTCTGCCTTTATTCTGTTTTAAGTTAGCTGTAACATTTTATCTAAATTCCTGTTTTGCATTTTCTGTGTTTGTTTACGACATTGCTAACTGTTTACTTGATGCAGCCATTACTGCACAACAATTTAAATTTCTTTAATTTAGTTATTCTTCGCAATTTTTTTTAAAAAAATTGTTTGCTTTTCAAAGAAATTGTTCATGATGCATTACAATTTAAAAAAAAAAATATTATTTAAATATTAAACTTTGTGCTGTTTTCCGTACATCGAGCTAATAAACACTAAAACTTTTTCCTTTCATGAAATGAAGTGAAATAATGCTTCACTTAAACTCAGATTTAGGATACATTTTAGGCTTTACTCAGGACTATATATATGTTCATTTAATTTTTTTTTTCATTTAAAAACTTTTGTTGTTCTAGTATTACAGATTTTAAGAACTGACTCCTCTGTTTATTATTTTTATTATATATTTTTTATTTACATTTTTGTATTAAATGTAATAAGGCATTAAATGTAATGCCTTATATTGCATTATTTCTGTTTTCCATGTTTTTAAACTTTAAATCTATTAAAAAAATTTTTAAATGTTAGATTTGTAAGCTTTTTGGTTGTTTTTGAATTATGCTCTTATTTTATAATCCAGCCTCTATGTTTTCAAATTTTGCATTTAGTTTTTTTTCTCCTTCACCCAATTTTGAATTAAAAAATTTGCATATGGTTGTGGTGATGGCGATAAGGAGCGTGCCTTGCGCCCTCCGATAAGTGTGGCAACCCTAGAGGAGAAGTTTTTCTTACGAGTAGCGAGCAGAGCGAAACAGGCAGGCTGTCGGGCAGTGTGCGCGAAGTTCCTAAATAAAGCTTAATTTTTATTGTGCACTATGTCTTGTTAATATTTATATTAATGCAGTAAGAACATAATCTGTGATATGGAATTCGAGGATTGGTGGTAAAAACATAACAGGAAATCACCATAATGGTAACCCGGACTGTGTTAAATCGTATGAACAGTTCTCAAGCACTTTCGGTTTTGACTACAAGCATCACTCAAGATCTCCAAAACCAGAAGTAATGGATTATATCGGTTTTGTCCTCCGGATCACAGATGAGTAGTAATTATAGATCATTTTATAATTCTGTTTTCTACTTATCATTTAATTTCATTTTCTTTAGTTAAATTTTTGCTTTTATTTTGGCTTAAAAAACCTTGCACAATGTCTGATGTTTTATTGCCGTCCAAATTCCGGTTTATAACCGATCAGACCCATCTTTATGGTTTATTATGTGTGAAAGTACTTTTGCTCTTGCCACCCCCAAACCTATCACAGAATCCATTACTAAATATAATTATGTAGTTTCTCATCTTCCTCCAGATATCGCATCACTAGTACGGGATTTACTTATGAAACCAGACCCTATTGATCCATATGCAAAGCTTAAAACTGAGTTAATAAAATCGTTCAGGGAGAATCTTCTCAGCAGAAAATTCGCCAATTATTATCTGGAGAAGAATTAGGTTCTCGAAAACCTTCCGATTTGCTTAGAAATATGAAACGTCGAGCAGAATCTTTAAATGTTCCTGATAACTTAATGTTAGAATTATTCCTTCAACGTTTGCCTTCGACTGTTCAGTCTATTTTGGCAGCGGTTGTCCAATTTAACTGTAGATAAAGCTGCAGAAATTGCCGACAGAATTTTAGAAGTAAATCCAAACCCCAGGGACTTGTGCCGTTTCTCCCACAGTCGATCAGTCTCTTGAGGATAAATTATTTAAACAAATAGAAAAATTAAACAAACGTATTGATCGCATTTCTCTTTCTCGTGGTCGCTCGCCAAATCGCGGAGATCGCAAATAAGGAAAGAAGCAATTTCCAAAAGGAGAGATTATTCTGTTTGCTGGTATCATAGACGTTTTGGGAAAAAGTGTAGAGATGACAAATGTACAAAACCTTGGTTCATGGCAGGGAAACGAAACCAGCAAAGAATAGAGGCGACTTATTCTTTGCCTCAAGTTTCACGTCGCCTGTTCGTTCGTGACCGTAGAACAAACCTTTCATTCTTGGTCGATACCGGCTCTGACGTGTCCTTACTTCCAGCAAATAATTCTCAAAAACGGAATTCGTCCCAACAAACACTTTCGCTGCTAATTCTTCTACTATTCATGTTTATGGTCAAAAAACACTTTCTTTGGATTTCAAATTAAGACGACAGTTTACATGGACTTTTCTTATAGCAAATGTTAGTACACCCATTCTTGGAGCAGATTTTCTCCATTTCTTTGAATTGGTGCCTGATCTCAGAAACAAATGTCTCAAAGATTTAAAAAACGCATTTTAAAACCGTCGGTTGCGTGAAAAATGCAAGCATTTATTCAGTAAAAACTGTATTTAGTGATACACCATATCACAAAATTTTAAAAGAATTTCCTTCAGTTACTAGATTACCAGATCCTAACCAACCTGTTTAAACATAACACCGTTCATTATATCATAACTAAAGGTCCACCTGTGGTTGCAAAACCTCGTCGGTTAGCTCCAGATCGCTTAAAAATAGCAAAACAAGAATTTCAAACTATGATGCAATTGGGGCATTTGAGACCTTCGAGCAGCAATTATGCATCCCCACTTCACATGGTTCCAAAAAAAGGGAAGTCTGGAATGGAGACCTGTAGGAGATTATCGAGCATTGAACGCTCAAACAATAAAAGACAAATACCCTATTCCATGCTTAGCCGATTTTACTGCTGCATTGCACGGTACTAAAATTTTTAGTCATGTCGACCTGATTAAGGCATACCATCAAATACCACTTAACCCAGCCGACATCCACAAAACCGCCATATGCACATCATTCGGTTTATTTGAAAGTACCCGTATGCAATTCGGCTTATGCAATGCATCCGCGACTTTTCAACGTTTTATAGATGAAGTCACGTGGGATTTAGAAGGCGTTTACGCTTTTGTCGATGACTTGCTCATAGCCTCTAAAGATTCTGAGGAACATTGCAGGCATTTGAAAGCTTTATTTTCCAAACTTCAGGAATATGGACTTTGCATAAATGTTTCAAAATGCACCTTTGGTCAAACATCTATTGATTTCTTAGGTTTTCACCTTAGTGAAAACGGAATTGAACCTCTTCCTGACAAAGTCAAATGTATTTTAGATTTTCCTCAACCTACCACTCTCACTCAGCTTCGCCGATTTTTAGGCATGTTTAACTTTTATAGATGTTTCATACCTAAAGCAGCACATATTCTTTCTCCTTTAATGAAATTGTTAGAAGGCTATATAATAAAAAGAAAATCTCGTTCTCGTGTTCAGGATTCATCCCCACAATTAAATTGGAACGAGAATGCTGAACAAGCCTTTATTGCTGCCAAAAATGCCATTGCTCAGGCTACCCTTTTGAGACACCCTATTCCCGGAGCCCAGCTAAGCATCTGGGTAGATGCCTCAGACGTCGCAATCGGCGGCACACTTATGCAGTTGTCTCAACAAACATGGGAACCTATAGCATTTTTTCTCTATGAAACTCAAGTAAAAGTCAACAGAAATGGTCCGCGTACGATAGGGAATTATTTTCTATTTATTCTGCAATTAAGAAATTCCGACACATGTTAGAGGGCAGAAATTTTATAATTTATACGGATCAAAAACCGTTAATATATGCTTTTAAACAGAACCCTCATAAATGTTCACCTCGACAATTGCGCCATTTAGATTTTATTTCTCAGTACTCTACTGATATTAGGCATGTGCAAGGTTCAAAAAAACGTTGTTGCTGACGCTCTTTCAAGAATCGAAATTGATTCCATAACAAAATCTCCATTTTTGGATTTTAAAAAAAATTTTCGGAAGCTCAACGGCATGATCCGGAGGTACAAGACCTTCTCAAAAACAACACATCATCTTTGAAACTGGAATTTAAACCGTGCCAATATTCTGATGGTAATATTCTTTGTGACATATCAACAGACATTCCTCGTCCATTTGTTCCGAATTCCTTTCGCAGACTCATCTTTAATCATCTGCATAATCTGTCACATCCAGGAATTGCAGCTACTACGAAGCTTATTTGTTCTCGTTATGTATGGCCCGATATGAAACGTCATATCAAAAATTGGGTGAAATCCTGTGAATCTTGCCAAAAATCGAAAATTACTAGGCATACTAAAGCACCACTGGGCACATTCTCTCTTCCTGATGCACGTTTTTCAGAAATCCATATGGATATCGTCGGACCGTTACCTCCATCAGAAGGCAATGTGTACCTTTTGACTCTAATAGATAGATTCTCCAGATGGCCTGAAGCCATTCCCATCCCGGATATGAAAACGGAAACCATTTGCAGAGCCATCTTCAACTGTTGGATATCTCGTTTTGGCTGCCCATCGATCATAACAACAGACCAAGGTTCTCAAATGAGATCCGCACTTTTTGCAGAATTCACGCGCATTTTGGGTACGAACAGAATCACAACAACAGCCTATCATCCAATGTCAAACGGCATTGTTGAACGATTTCATCGACATTTAAAATCTTCTCTCAAGGCTCATGAGACCAATAACTGGAC